GAGGTCTTTAGTCAGAGCTCAAGGTCTCTCTTCAGGGAAAATGTTGGTATCTGCAAGAGAGGTTCTGCTTCAGCGAGAGTTATTAACACCGGTTTCTAAAGGTTGTTTAGGAACAGACTTCATGGAGAGCGGCAAATCCAGACCTAGAAACCTCAGCAACACAGATCTTTGGATCTATTCCTGACTGTCGATAACCAAAGTGCTGTAATCGAATTACTGTAGCACAGTGAGAGAGAGAATAGAAACAGAAAATTCAGTATTCACATTTTATCCTATTCGATTCCACTTCATTTTAGAGGGAAATATTGTACTTTTGAGTTCACTACATTTATTTGACAGTTATAGTTCCTGTTACTCTGCAGATTGTTGATCAAATAAACTACAAAAGAGTAGTAAAAATAAAAATCATTAAAGGTCCAGTCTTTAACATTTAGGAGCCTAATTTATTGGCAGAAATGGGATATACGTGTATCTATGTTTTCATTAATGTATAATCACCTGAAAATAACAATCCTTATCTTTTTGTTACCATAAAATTAGTTGTTTCTACAGATGCTGAAGGTCGCCTTCCATGGACAGTGGCATGTTTCTACAATAGCCCAGAAGGGACAAACCAAACACTGCTTCTATATAGGCCTGTACATGTTTTTGTGTGTTTGACGGCCAACATAGTTTCTCCCTTGCGCTTGGAAACTATGGTTTTGCTCTACCAACCACTAAAAGCATTTTACAACATTTTTCATATTCACTGCCATGCAAGCTGCCAAGCTCCTAATCAGGAGCGATACAGTGCTTTCTATGCAAAATGCTCAACATAATACTAAACTCACCAATACACACACTTACACACTGACGGTGCCACCATAAGGAGCAGTTTGGGGTTTAGTATCTTGTACCCAAGGACACTTTGAGACCCTTACTAGACCCTCTACAGTATAAATTAACATATAATACACCGCAACACTGTTCGGGAGGCAGACACCCTCTCCACATTCAAGAGTAGGCTTAAGACATTTCCTATTTGAAAAGCTTATAGCTTGGGGATGGTTCAGGATCAAACTAGTTCGATGTATAGGCCTAGACTATCGGGGGGATTTTCCCATGGTGCACTGAGCTCCTCTTTCCTCTCTTCAGGAAGACTCCAGTCCATTAATGCATGTTACTAACTTTATTCTTTCCCCTGGAGTTCTTGTGCTTTCTCGTCCTGAGATAACTTCTGTTATGAATTGGCGCTATACAAATAAAATTGAATTGAATTGAACTGAATTAACTACGGTGGCCGTGAAGCTTACAAAATGAAAACAGGTGATTACACACTAATAAAAAACATACCTTTACTGGGTCCTGAGGATTTGAGTAACTATATATTTTTTCCTGTCCAATAGCTTTAAACTGACCTTTTTTCAAACTTTTCACCATTTAACTTTAAGTCACAAAAGAACCAATTTCATCTTTTGTGAGCTGAAGAAAGCTCTTCACCAAAGACACATTACAGTACAAAGCGAGTCCCATGTTCAGAAATGGCATAAATGTCTTATTCTTGTGAAATAATGAATCTAAAACAGACATAAAATTGTAATTTTCATGTCAGAATTTCCCATCGTCCACATTTAGGCCTGTGTCAGCACATCGTGAGCTACGCTTTGTTTTGGGTCGAAATGTTCATGTAACTAACGACGTCAGAGAGCGCCTGTGCAGGCTGGACATCCCCTTGTGAAAAAAGTCATAATTGTGTTTCTCTCAGGCCTCGGGGACACATGTCAGATACTCAGATGATCCGGTCAGAGACACGTTAGGACAGGCTGATTTCTGCTGCTCCTTAGTTCAGCATTTATGATCCCTGAGCTGCTGAGTAGCTGCATGTTGAAGCATGTATGAGACTCAAATGTTTGATGCAGAGAGAGAATAAAAGTGAAAAAACCTAGACCAGAACAAGTGATTAGGTAGATTCCTCCTACCAAGTGCAGATCAGGCAAGTCTGATTGAATTCCAGTGGTAGAAGAAGTATTTATATTCTTTAAATTTACTACAAAGGGCTGTAGAGTCTGTATAGTGTATCACAACCTCTATCCTTAGACTCTTCATTCGCATAAGGACGAAACCTCAGGAAAAGCAACAGAGGAGGGATGCAGATGTCCAACACATGTACGGAACAAACCAGCACAGTAAAATTACAGTATAAAAAATCAGGATGACGATATTATAGATAGATTGTAATTATACAATACAAAAGAATATGGATCCAGAAGCAACTTCAGGTGTCTCCAAACAGACCTGAGCCACATGACCTCCTCTCAGACATGGAGACCTGGAAGAGGAATGATTACTCAAACACACAAGAGGCAGAAACTCAAACACACAAGCATTCGCACAGATAAGAGAAAGAAAAGAAACACACACACACAAGATGAGAGAGACACAAGAGGAGAGGCTGGAATGAGGCGCCCAAGATGTTACATTAAGGAAAATTAAACATCCACAAGAGAATAAAATTGAAAAGTTTTTATATTTTATTGGTTGTGATAACGATGTTTGAACAGCAGGGGGAGACAAACTCCACAGAGGGAGGGAGCCGAGCTGGAAGGAGCTGTCCTTTCAGCACCACATCCTCACACACACACACACACACACACACACACTGATCTCTGTGTTAATGCTGCACACTAATTACACAGGAGTCCGTCTTTTCCTTTCTTTCTTTCTTTTTAAAAATATGATGAATTCAACATTGAGTTCAAAAACTCGAACCCTCAACATCAGAGTCCAGAGTCCGGCCTCATCCTCGCTGCTAGTTGTCATTCATGGAGAATCATCTAATCAGAGGATGACACCGTATCTGCCTTTAAAGCTTGCGAGAGCTGCAGCCTAAAAATCGCACTTATTAATGACAGTGAAGCCGCAAGTCGGACATTTAGTGAGATTACTTCGGGGAAGAGTGGCGGGGACGTGCGTGAGGGAGCGCTGCAACAATTGGATCGGACGATAATAAGACACAAATGCATAAATCTCAGCCCGTGTGCGCAAATGCAACTCAGTTATCCTCCATCTACCTTTTTCCCAAATAGAGAGAGAGATAGAGAGATATAGAGAGAGAGAGAGAGAGAGAGATAGAGAGAGAGATAGATAGAGAGAGA